CGGGTCCATTTATTAAATACCGAAAAGTTTTGGGTCGATTCAGGTCTCTTCAGAACTGAACCGAACCGACCCACGGACAGCCCTACTGGAGATTGCAATAATTCAAAATGATAGGAGATATTCGATAGTTAAGTAATTACTTGAAAACAAGGAAAAATTCTTGAGAATTTCGTTTCATGGGAAATGGGAAAAATTGTCTATCGCTAAACCAACATTGGAAGTAGGGATGGCAATGGAGCCAGGAGGGGTCGGGTCGGGTCGGGCCGGGCCACACAGTCCAAACTGGACCAGAATTTCTTGCTTAACTAGATTAGGGGGGCGAGACGAGGCAAAGAAATTTCCCTCGGGCCAGGGACCGTTGTCCCCACCCATTTTAACTTTCATTTTATAAAAAAATTATCCAACACAAAAACGAAGAGGATTAAATCAGTAGGTCACCAAGGAATGTATAAGGAAGCCAATTTTCAAAATTATCAAAACCTAAGCAGACTCTCACATTGCACCTAATCTGTAATCTCATTCTCGGAATCTCACAAACACAATCAGCTCGGATGACGACCACTCTCTTCTCTCTCCGCCTTTTTTCTAGCAGCCAACAACCAGGCACACCACTCTCCTCTCTATTCCTGCCGATCTCTCTTGTAATTACTAATAAAAAGATCTTCTTAGATCAACACGCTCCCTATAAGAACTAGCTCTTTCATTTTTCTGTCTGAAATTCAGCACCATTTGTCGTGCAAAAATGTGGTCCGTCTGATGTGTTCATATGTGATTGTTTCAATTGTTTTGTGAGTTTTCAAGTTTATGTTTAATGCCCAGTTGCTATTTTCAGTTTTCTTGCATACCTAGTTGTTCCCAGGTTATGCTTTATTTCTACTTACAGTAATTCTTGATTGTAACTTTCTTTCCAGTACAAAGATATAATTTCTTGCAGTTTGAGTATGTGTTATGAATTAAAATCATATTTAAAACAAATATAAAATATAAACGCTGTGCTAAATGGAAATCACCCCGCCACGCCCCGCCCTTAAGCAGGGATGGGGCAGGGAAATCCCCCGATAGGGGACCTAGAGGGCATCCCTGGCCACACCCTGTCTCGTTTTCATTCCTAATCGGAATTACAAAAATCCACAGAAGTAGTAAAAATTCCTTGGCAGAAGATATAGACAATATATGAATGCATAGCCAGTGTAAGGCTCGAAAAGGACAAAAATCAAATGAAATAGTGAGGAAAGAGAAAATATCAACTCACAGAAGTACTGACAGAGTGTATAACTAGTAGGTTATTTTTAATATAAAAATGAGGAAAGTGAAGTAACAAAGCGTTAACAATTATGCTTTAGAGAGATGCACTGAAAGTTAATTAAGAGACCAAGAAGTGACAATATTTTAACTCAATGGAATCCAATAATGTCAGACACTAAACACAATTACGACTCTGGACAAAATTGATATCATATTCTACACTATCATGTATATGGATGGCGTAAAAACTTAAAAGTAATCAACATGTATCCACGTTCATACAGGTTCTACAAGCCATAGTGCATAAAAATTGGATTTTTCTCACAGATCTCTTCTAGAATGAGATCAAGTGAATAATAGTGAAGTTGAACAATTATGAAGGCACAACTTCTTGTGTGTTAAGAAGTGGGGTTTCATCTTAAAAGGTTAACCTTATTAAGAGGAGTAATCCAATCCTTTATAAGTTCGTTTATGTTTACATCTTTATTCGATATGGAATTCTATCACTTAATATGCTCCCGCAAGATGATGGTTTATTTGAGCAGACCAATCTTGAAATTCGTATGCTCACTTTTGGAGTCTTAACCAAATCGAATTGCTCGTTAGAACTTAATGGGTTCTGATACCATATTAAGAAGATGGGTTTCATCTTAAAATGTCAACCTTATTAAGAGAAGTAACCTAATCCTTTACAAGTTGGTTTATTTTTACATCTTTATTCGATATGAGATTCTATCCCTTAACATTGTGTAACCATTTCTATTGCACAGCCACTTCAACTAGGGAAGCGTGTCCATGCCCCGATATGTGTCGAATATCGACACTCTACCATAATCATTTTTTTTTAATTAAAAACATTATATATTTTTAACTCAAATTTATTAGTATATAACAAATAGATAATCATATTTAAAATATTTAAAAAAAAAATTAATAACAAGTATAAAACAAAATTTATACAATATAAATAAAGAATTTAATCGACATGTCGACAATGTGTCATGTTAGTACCCTTTTGAAAAATAGCGTGTCAGTATATCCGACACGTGTCGTATCGAACACAAGCGTCTGATGCATAATAGGTGACCATCAATGTAAATAAACACTAAGGGTACATTTGATTGCCAATATTTTTCATGAAAAATATGTTTTTTAACCTAATTTCCTACTTTTGTGTTGTTTGATATATAATTTTTTCCATGGAAAATATTTTCCTACTTTTGGTCACATGACCATATTTTCCTTGAAAACAAAGAAAATATTTTCTTTAGGGAGAATTGGTTTTTATTTTCTAGGTAATTCACTATATCTCTTTTATCTACCCCATCAATAAAAAATGAATAAGTATAATTTTTCTAGGTTGAAAACTAAATCAATCAAATACATTTAATTAATAATTCTCATACAAATAATTACTAGGCAATTGAATTGCCTAAAAGTTATTTTCTTTCCACGCAAATTCAATGCTCGTAATCAAACGCACCCTAACAGCAAAATGTATTAAGCCAATTCCCATTTTCAATAGCTCTATCAATTTCCAAGGCAAACCAATTTTTAGTAGTCATTTAAAATCAAAACTCAAAAAGATTCTAGTCCGGCCAAACAATTTTATATTGCATTCAAAAACATTGGGCATGATTGCACAAAACACAAAATAAAACTTTTGCTTGTTAAAAAGAAATTCAGAATGTAAACACTGAAATTAAATAATAGGTCCTTGTTTCTCCACCTCAATATAATCATCCATAATCACTAGGTCCCTCAACTATTCAAGACTTTTGTTGGTTGTTTTTTCTACTACTTTTCCAACACCCTTGACTCAAGATGAGTGAATTCTCCAGGAAATTTCAGCTTCAAAAATTTATTTGAATTTCTAATTTACGTGTACTAATGGACTGAAGAGACCTGCCAAATAAAGCACGCATACCAAATGTGCAACTAGCATTGCTCATTAGCAATGACTCAAAAGCATATGCACGAAAATATACTATTTCTAGTATTAATAAAATTCCCTCTTCACCCACTAAATTTTTAGTTCCAAATTTTCACCTCAATTAGGTAAATTCATTTCACTTTGTTGTCAATTCCTAGTTTCTTCGAATAACAACATGCACATATACCACGCATCAAGCAATCGATTCAAACAAATTCATGAAATTCGAACAAAAAATAAAAATAAAAAATTCATGAACCCTATAGCTGGTTCACCTTTCAATTCCAAGTTTCAGGAGAAATTAACCAGAAATTTGAATACCCAATTGATAACAGAAAAAAACCCAGAACAGAGAAATCAATTACCTGAGTTTTTCCAATTCTGGGCAATTTTTGAATAATCAGAGGCCGACGGCCGTGGATGAGGCGGAAACAGAAAGCTTCATTTTTCCAGCAAAAGCAGAAATGACTTGGACCAAGCAAAAATTATTATACCAAATACTCACTCAAAAGATGAACATATATGAACAGTGAAGGGGTGACAGCAGTTTTGACTCGATGCGCATCGCAGATTTCTTGCACGTCAGAATGTATGAAAGGCAACCGTTGGATATATAATCACTTCAATCTTTTTGTTCAATCAATTTTTCCCAAAACTCGTGCGTGTCAAACTTTTGATTAAATATTGTCAAAAAAAAAAAACTTATGGATTAAATACACCGGTTTTTATTGAAAGTTTAGCAAAATTTCATTTTAATCACAATTATTTTATTTTAAATTGGTCACTAAACTTAAATTTTTTTTTTTTATTTTTTTTAATTTGATTACTTTATCCACGCCCATTAGATTAAACTCAAAGCAAATAGAGTTAACTGTCCAAAATATTTTCACATCTTTGTAGCCTCATGATTAGATGTTCGCCAAGATAATACATATGAGGAAGCCTCAATTGC